GCCCAAACGCGCCGGCACCACTTACTTAGCTAATACCTAATTTGAGGTGGCGAGGCTCGGCCCATCAGGCCCGCTCGCGTACCCATCACGGAAATTTCGCTATGCCCCTTTCGTCATCTAGCGGAGAAAGAAGGTATTAATCGGGCGACGAAACAAGCGATTTTGAATTTAGCTCAGAGTCTCCAATTTAGCTCAGAGGCTTCAAGATCTTTTACATGCAGTAAATCTACTTCATGGGGCAGCAAGATTTACTTCCCCTCCGAAGGAAGGCGTTCGAAGGATTTTCTTCGCCGACAAGTCGGCGCATAAATGGGGACAGTCAAATGTCGATAAGTTTCTGTACGTCTTTCTAAGTTCTTCAATACGTTTCTATGAATGTATTGGGCATTAATTCTCATGCATGAGGGGTGGGTGGGAAGAGAGACATGTGTCGAACCTGAACCTATAGTGTCGGTAAGTTTCTATAATATTCTATAAGGTGGAATCCTCTGTAAGAATCATGATTTGCCATTTCTCTTCATCATGAAGCCTAACTCGTCTCTAACTCAAAATGCGAACATCCTACATCTTAAAGCACCAGATACCTCGTAAGCATCTATAACACGTTCATTCGTTTCTACGTAACACAGTTTGGGGGAAAATACTCCTGTATTAATAGTTTTCAATAAACGACTTTGTTTTCAAATGGTTCGATAACGAATGTACATTTGTGCTAGTTATAATTCCTTACAATTAGTCGCACTCCCCACTCGAACTTTGTACTTAATTTTAATTGCTTTTTCTCATTAAAAAAAGTGTAAAATGTCATTCCGTTAAACTCTGACATATGCAGAAAAAGTAAAAATTTAAGTGTCAATTCAGGTGAAAACTTTTTTTAAATTGTGTAGTGCGTAACAATCGTAATTCGAAGCCCTTTCTGTACTTATCTCTCCAGGGGATGTGGAGTTCTACGCACAATTGTTAATGTTTCGGCCGTTGTTCTAGATTCTAACTCCAGTCTAAATGCACACGGCGCGACGAATCTCGGGCAGCCATGCTGATGCAGGCCGCAGACGCTTGCACTTTCGGGATCGCGTCTCAATTGCCTTCGGTGGCTCGTTGTTTAGCGTTCTCACACCCCAGGTTCGATTCCCAGCCCGGGCAAAATTATAATTGTGCGCTTTCCTTACAAATGTCCTAGTATCTAGTAGCATGTGAAGACAAGAATGCGCACCCTAAGGGTATGAAGACCAGTGTATACGGTGGAGGGATGTCTTCGTGCTAACTACACGAACCCATGGCCGAAAGGCTGGGTCACCGCTGGTCGGCCGAGGCCCGCCCCGGGTTCACGAGCCAAAGAACAGGACAGGACGTCCTAATTGTCTTGATCTGAGAAAAGTTTCCGAAGACTTTTGTAGTCTGGGCATTGTTAGTGCAAATTCGCCTCAATAATTATTTACGCATTTGTGTAATCTATTCGTTATAATTGCTGTGGACCAGCTCGCCACGTGATTTTTATAAGAGTTTCCCCTCTTGCAGGAGGCCTTTTTTAAAGTTGTGCTAAAACCACTACATTGCTTCTGATAATCGCTGTAAGCATTTTTTCAAGTTCGCGCTTATCATTTTATTCCAATAGCTTCGTTGATTCGATCTCTCGTATCGATCTCAACCATACCTTTTGCACCTCTATCACATTTTTCAACTCAACTATTTCTTAGAGAAAATTGTGTAGCCGTATAGTAAAATCGTGTGATGTAATGTTTTCTACCGACCAAAAACTTCCACACGCCTGGAAAATTCTGTATAGAAACTTACTATGGAATTTTTGGTCGTTACGAAAACATTATACGTAAAGAAAATACGAACGGTAACATACAATAATAAAGCCATATGATATTTTTAGTGTAGTTTCGTCATAAAGATTATTAGCTAATTCGTAAAAGAAGTTTTATTTGAGAAAATGTATCCGAAATTTTTCTCATAGAGTTCAATGCTACTACGAATACTGCACTACTCGTAGTGATAGTTTGCAAAAACTTTCTGAACATTTTAATTCCCAAAGGTTTAGTGTTTCTTCGTATATACATTATGTTAACCATACGACTATTAGTTTTAAATTGAATTACGAACAGAAAGGTTCAAATAGTACGCGTGAATCTTACGAGAATAACAGTTTCGATAAATGGGAGTGGCCATAAATACATTCGCTTGAGGACTTTAAAAGTTAAAGATATGAAGGATGTTAGTACACTTCCAGATTCGAGAAGATTTTTCTCAAATTTTCCAATTTAAAAAAATACAAGGCAATTTCTTGATAAGAGATGTACGTACTTTTTTTTTTTTTTTGTAAAACGATACAAACTGGGGGAACGGGAATGCCTAAAATGTTTGTAATTTAGTAAGTAAAAAAGTGGGATGAGCGTATTTTTTTAATCAACGCGGTACCTCAAAGAAATGTATAGGGAAGAATAATGCATTTGTATTTTGTACTTTGCATGGCGATTAATTAGTGTCGAGAAACAGTCATAAACGTACAACAAAAATATTTTAAATAAGTATCTAGAGTACGTATTGAAACGCCTATTTAATTCGTTTACTAGCTCGTCCAGCAAGTTATAAGTACGCATTCATTTATCCAACTCCTCGACCAAGAAATTCCATTCGTGTCTCCGGAACCGAGTAGCATGTCAATGACCGGATTGAAAACATCGTTTCAACAAAAAAAAAAAAGGTTTTAAACACTAGCTCGGTGTCTACAAGAAGATTGTAGATATGTTTTTAACGCGGCCAAATTCCCTGCTGGTCGTGACCGCGCAGTGCGATAGTCTGATGTTATCCTCTCTGGGAGCACCTGTTTTACCGTTACATAACCGTAGGCGGCAGAGGACTGGTTATTCTGCTCTTGACTCTTTCTCCCTCTCTCTCTCGCGCGCGCGCATGGTGAGTTTCGCGGCCACTCTCCCTTTCTCACGTTATGACAGCTGAATACGATCGTTTTTTTCTCTCTCTTTCTGCGCTCGGGATCGCGCCTTCATCTCTGAAACCAGTGAATGATTTCAACACCTAAGTATAAAAATATTTGTCCACTACTTACGCATGATTCGTGATAGTGTGATAGTAAAGAAAAAGTGTAGACCATCCGTCTGCCCTTTTTTGGTGCTTGATTTAACGTGTCTGTAGCACAGAATATTTGGATTGTTTTGAACTCCTCTTTTCTTATTGCTTTAACACCCACCTACCTACCTACCTACCTACCTTTGTTGACACCTACCCGTATCATGTTCATGATTAACTGACGCATGGATAGTCAGACGGTCAGACTTGTTAACACTATCCGTCTGACTGCGTGAATGATGCATTCAAAAAACGATTCTCTGACGGTCAATGTCGATAAGATCAGAATTTTGCAAGTGAAACATCTGCTACACGAGAAATAACTTTTTCACTGAGATGAATTTAAAGTTTCCACTCGCCTTCCGAAGGATTTCGAAAGTTCTGACCTGATTTTCCCGTGTACTCTCGCATTGAAGTCTCTGCAGATGCAGTTAAAGGACCGTGCAATAATAATTAGCAGCAGGTTGTCATAGGTTGTTCAAGTGACATTTTGACACAAATGACATTAAAGGCGTCGCTTTCTACTCAACTATCTTCATGCATTTCAGAATTTTTTAACCCAAATTCCCTCTCGTGAGATTGTTGCAGCAGTTTTTATGTAGTCAGTAGGAAAATATCCCACGCTTACATGGGAACACAGCGCGTTATGAAAGTTTTGTTATTGAGTTTTGGATGCATTCGTGCATTACCAAGTCTGGTTTACAATTTTTGGTGTCAATTGGAATAAACAATTTATTTATAACTGCACACCATCAGAAAATTTAGTTAATTTCGCATTGTATGGACACGCTTCACGTTTTTGTACGTCAAAACTTTACTCTATATCCTTTCTTGCCTTCGGCTTGCTAAACAGCTGCAATGCACTAATAATAAAAGAAATACAACTAGTGAGGATAAATAAATTCAAGTTTTGCAATTTCTTTTTATTCTTATGGTACTATAATAATGCATATATTATTTAAAAAAAAAAACATATTTTAAAATTTAATATCAATTAAGAACCGTATAACTCATCTTCGAAGCTAGCGCATTAAATGTATATCTTTAATGTTCTGCCGAAGACTACCTTCACGCAAACATTAATAACACGCGCTTTTAAATAACAGGTTTGTCTTCCCTTGGAAGGAAACCGTACAATTGAATCTGTAGTTTAAAATTTGGGTCGTAACATTCGATTACGGTCAACATTGTGCAGTAATATCAAATTTTAACTAGTGTATTTGTGTTCAGTATTTGTCAACATCAACATTTCAATTTTCTTCCTGGGGCTTTTCCAGCTTCAGTGATGCCTATTTGAGCTATTCGCGCTGGGCACCTACTATGTCCCTCATCGGGACACTTATTAACCTTTACACTATACGCACACACTTGCTGCTCCTCGGTCTGTGATCAGCAGACTCACAAGGCTTTCCGTGTCAACACACACACATGGAAGAAAAGGGACAAACAACCATGATCACGGCCCATCACGGCGACCGAGGCGCCGAGTCGGGACACGCTCTAACCATTCGACCATCCAGGGCGGCGGTCCATGCCAACATAATGCTAAGAAGTAAAAGGTTATAAAATAGTTTGGTCTGAAAAGCATGACCCCACCTTTGATTCTTATTTACCAACTACGAGTAAATAATTTATTAGTTCCACTAATATATCACTAATATTTTGTAATTTGAAAACATTTAGATATTCTTTTAAACTAGACATACAGGTAAAGTGGCACACTCATTCCAATAGTGTGTTCTTTAAATCCCAAAAATCTCGAAAGTTATTCATCGCTGATCATTTAAAATTTGAGAGTGCTTTTCAGTACAAATAACCTGTTGTTATACCATGACGGGTCATTAAAAAAGGAATTGCCAGTAAAGGGGAGATAATGACGCGGTAAAGTAGCGGCGTGACCGATCAGAATGCAGTTACGAGTTAATTTCACGCCACAGAAGCAGTGGGTTCAAGAAGTGAGTGTCGTTGTAGGACGGGACTTGTTTCGTGTCAATTTCTGGGTGACCAAGGACACCTCTCATAGCTCTTTCTTTTGTTTCCTAACAATAAGAACGGTCGGCTACGTAACCTTGAGCTCGGCCGGCAAAAAAACAGCTTCCTATGACAGATTTCTCCTGGTTTGCAGTAATCGTGGTGAGAGTGACAGGCAAAAATTCCTGTCGGACATTCATTTCCTTGAAGTGGCTCTTGATTACTTTTATTATTTTCCGGTGCATTTGTCATCTCTAAGACAACTGTGAATATCTTAATAATAATAATAATAATAATAATAATAATAATAATAATTGATGATGGTAAAAGGAGTTTGTAACTGAAACCACTTAGCCTTTACACAATTAACAGCATGCATTTAGGATCATGCGATAAGCAGCACCTCAGTTATGGCTTTCACGAATCGTGATATCGCTGACACAGAATATTGTATGTCGTAGGCAGGTCTCGAACACGCATTCAATTGCATCGAGAGGCTGAGCCATCACTCATTGACATCACTATCGGCCATTCAAAGTGTGTTTTTAAGTACAGACAAGGTACAGCAAACTGTATTCGTTCATTCATGAGCACAGTTCTTAGAATAATAATAATAATAATAATAATAATAATAATAATAATAATAATAATAATACACTTCGGGCACTGGAGTGTCTTCACTTGGATACCAGGAATGTATATAATATGCAAAAGACAGTAATTTTGAATACATGCCGTATTGTCAGAAGCCATCTGAACCTTCAGTAAAGCAACCACACACCTGGTCATCATACCTGTGTGTGGTTGACATACCGACCAGTAGATACTGTGAATAATGTAAGATAACAATAATAATAATAATAATAATAATAATAATAATAATAATAATAATAATAATAGTAATAATAATAATATAAATTCTTAAATTTGTGTACAAAAATGTTTCTATAACGAGAATTTACATACCACCCTATTAGATTTAAAGTAGTTAAGTTCATTTCTTTTCTACACATTTCTGAATGAGTTTTCTGAACTAGCTTACTTCTTAATTCCAACTGTTTCTGCTGACATCCCGAAGTTATTTGCCTTTCATATTATAATATACACTGTTCTGAGATTTGTAAGTTGTTTATTTTAGTTTTTCGTTTTTCTAATGCTAACGAACAATTATTCTCTGTTCTTCGTATTAAATAATTATTTATTAAAATTGTGTAGTATATTGTCGCGTTTATAATAAATGAGTACATATCTTAAAAATGCCTTATTTCCTAAATAATTTTCTCGTGTGTAAATATGCAGTCTCGGCGTAATATAACGGACTAATTTAATGAATTATTCATCCTCGTACATGTGCAAACTTTAGAATTCAGATTACAAAGATGTTATACACTTACACTTTCGTTTATAATTTGACTTATTTTAAAGAATCATTCAACGATTCGCCCATCACAATAGATCGTGTGTTCAATGATCAGAATATTAAATAAATAATTTGCCTAAACATTCGCCAAATGATTAGGTCGTTCATTATCCATTTGTCAAATGAATTATTCAATGATTTTATCATCAAATGAATCAATGTCTCATTTATTGCCAATGTTTCATATCTCGTTTGAGAGATGAGATCATTCGTTCAATCATCTAATGATCCTTTGAGTGATTCTTTCATTAGACGATCCGTTCATTGGGCGATTCGGCCATTGAGTCATTTATTTAGTCATTCGTTGATTAGGCGATTCGTTTATTAAGGGTCTCGCTCGTTTGTAGATTCGCACAATTCTTAATTTGTTTATTAATATTCGTTCATTGTTTGATTCGATCATGGAATGTGAAGATTCGTTCATTACACGAACCGTTTATTGAGTGATTCGTTCATTAAACGAATTGCTCACTGGGTGCTCATGAGCGACTCGTTTGGTTGTAGGTTCGCACACTTCTTAATTCGTTCGTTGGGTGATTCGTTCATGACATGATTTGCTCGCATGGCTGGGTGCGCAGGCTGTTGCTGTTCTGTGCCTGGCGGCCGCCGCGTTCGCCGAGGAGCCTGAGAAGAAACAGGAGAAGCGCGGCCTTCTGGGCCTGGGCTACGGTGGCTACGGCCACGGCCTGGGCGGCTACGGAGGCTACGGTGGCTACGGCCTGGGCGGCTACGGAGGCTACGGCCTGGGACACGGCATCGGCTATGCCGCCGCCCCCGTCGCCGTCGCCGCCCCCGTCGCCAAGGTGGCCGTGGCCGCCCCCGCCATCGGCTACGCCGGTCACGGCCTCGGCCTCGGCGGCTACGGAGGCTACGGTCTCGGCCTGGGACACGGCATCGGCTACGCCGCCCCCGCCGTCGCTAAGGTAAGACCATTGTTTCTTTTCCGTATCTCCGTACTGTTTTATCAGCTTGACTCAACTATATAGAGAAAGGAAAAGCTGTTGAATGGCCGGCGTCAGTAAGAATTTAAGTCGGCCGTCCGTAGGGAGAATCAAAACAAATAATTGTACCTTAAGAAGGCGTATGAATCAAATAATTTCAAAAAAACTAGTTCCTTGTTTAAATGACATTTTATTATACGATGGGAGACCAAAACGTATTGTACAAAATACGACAGATAACATAAATAACTGACACTGTTGTTAATTTCCTGTTTACCGAACCTATAACATTAATAACTACTCTGTCTCCAAAAAGAGTCAAAGTGTCAACGCGTTTTAACTCCGAAGTCCTTATTTATTATTCAAGTTCTTTTTCATTATACGAATTTTTATGGAGAACATTATAACCTGTTTAAGCCAACGTCGCCTTTTATAATGATATGTCAAGCATTCCTTCCGAAAGACTAAATGGTCCAAATGTAGTTCTAGCTGCAGTTATCAGAAGGTAATACCGAACAGCCCGTCTAGCAACTACAGCGCGCTATCCCGGATAATGGGCGTTTACCACGTTCTTTTTTACTGAAGATCTAATTTGACATTCACTACGTTGCCTCGATTGCACAGTTTCTATCTACAGACGCAGATACTATAAATGATTTCAACGCCTTTATAGGCAGTCTGTAAGAGAAAGTCGAATTTACCCCGAAGCGATTAGGCATTGAATCGGTTTGGTTTTGTTCACATCTGAAAACGTTGAAAGACGAAATATTAAAGAAAAGTTTTAATAACAAAGGCCCTAAACAATGAAACAGTGACTCCTTACCTAAACAAAGATAAGGCAAAAAACTGCTTTGGGTGCGCCTCTGCCACCCTCCCACTGCTAAGTGTCCCCCCAGCAGCAGGTTAACGGCTGTTTGTGTTCGCAGGTTGGCTACGCTGCTCCCGCCGTGAGCTACTCTTCCCTTGGCTACGGCCACGGTCTCGGCTACGGCGGCTATGGGCTGGGCCATGGCATCGGCTACGCCGCAGCTCCCGTCGTCGCTAAGGTCGGCTACGGCGGCTACGGACTCGGCTATGGAGGCTACGGCTACCATTAACCATTCTGACTCGCTTCATCCCATCTCCCACCTCAGACCTGCCCCTTCACCCTTCTTGGGTGTTTTCGGAAAGGTTCGGCAAATTCCGGAACGATCCGCCGACTGTCCAAAAGGTTCTGAATCGGAGTCCTCCGGACGTTGCGAAACTTTTTCGGAAATACCCGGATTTTAACGGACTTTGAGACTACGAGCGTTTTGTTCTTTGTAAACAGTATTCCTATATTTTCTAGTAAGAATGTTCGAGAGCCTGTCGTTACACCCAGGCGAGGAGTTGTACATATCTACTCAACTCAAATTTAAAACTATACCTTTTCCTATGGCTAGTCTGAATATCCTTTCCGTACTATCACTTTCATCCATTTACACACCACTCATTCCTTCCATGGCTTCATCAAGTGCAATAATGTTCGTTTGTAATTTTTATAACTTATTTTATTTACTACAAGCGTTAGCTATTTGTACGTAATGGTCCCTGACCATTGAACTTGCCAAATTGAGTGAATAAAATATTTTGCTAAAACACCAAAAATACTAGTATATTTCAAGTTAATTATCCTAGCTCAATAAAACTTCCTTGTCCTTACATATTCAAATAAAATATAAGCCATTGTGGTGTATGCGATGACCAAATAAGTTAATGAATTAAGGAGACTTTCTGTGTCGTTTAATCATTAATTTTCAAGTTCTTTAAAATTTGCCTTTAGTAGGAGGGTTCAGAATTTATTAAAGACAGTATTTTTCTTATTTTTTACTTTTCCGCCCTTTCAAAGTATTCTTTACAGATTTATTTATATAAATCTATAACAGCCAATGTTTCGAGACCTGATTTGGTCTCATTACCAAGGCTCGAGTACCTTGGAAATATAACTTCTTTAATATCTATCTTCCTAAGGAATCTATAATTCTTAATATTTTATATCTTTAATATAACATCTATAATTCCTATAAGTACATAGCCTTACAAGTATTCCACACGTGGACAAGTTAAGATGGTCTGAGATTCGCATAGTTCCATAATGGAACAGTGTTTTAGTTTGTTAGCTTTTTAGTGCCTTTTAAAATATTAATTCTTCTCTTGTACATGGTCTTCTTATAATGGACAAAAGATATTTACATTATATTATGCAATTTATATTTCAAATGTACTTGAGCCTCGATAATGAGACCAAATAAGGCCTCAAAACGTTGGCTGCGATAGATTTGTATCAATAAATCTGCAAAGAAAGAAAGAGAGAGAGAAAAATCCTGGATCATCATCATGAATGGTCATTTCAATATAGACGGTCGAGGAAGTTCACTTAAATCTTTCAACCGTTAAAAACCATTTGAAGAGGCAAATATGCAACCATTTTCTTCTTGGCTAAAACTATCCTTTGAGAAACCATGAAGTAATCTGTGTTATTCAAAATATCTAAATGGAAAATTGTTGTGACACAATTTTTATTAACATTAATATAATGCGATAGAGAAAATAAAGCCTGAAATTGTATAGAAATTGAAATATAAAACGACAATCCAAAATTAATCCTGAAGTGAAAGCTTGTTAAATACATCGCACCATTGTTCCTTCCAGACATGAGTCTAGTTCTTTTTAGATTTCCGTCACGATAACTTCACGCACGAAACCGCAAACATTTCATTTAAAATGCAAGCACTTTCGACTTCAAGTAGGCCAATGAACCGCGACTTCTCTGTGGATTTCTGTTCGAGTATATTCACGAACATTGAAAACAGGATGAAATACATTCGTATTGTTAGAACGGGCCAAATGGCAGTTGTTTAATCAACAGATCGTTAGCATAATCAAGTTAATGTAGAGAGCGCATCTATTTAGAAACTGGGTTAGAAACTCAATACAACTATACAATGAAATTCTGACAAATATGTTTTTTCGTTTATTTAACTAAACATTCACGTTAATTACATGAAAAATGGTTGATTATCACTGAGATAATAGCACGCATGCAATTAAAACTCAACACTAAACTCCATACACTCCATGCGGAACTTCAAGGGACCAGCATTTTTTTCATATTAGACAAGATTCCGAATTATGCAGAGTAATATTGTAGAATGTATGTTTGGCAGAACCGTGACATATTTTCACATTAGACAGATTTCCGTATTATAGAAGTTCCGCTATGAGCAATTTTTACTGAATTACAGCAACCGACCGATAAAATTTAGATCTCGACACTAGTTAAATTCAAGTATGTAGGCAATGTCGAAATTCCACTATCGGGGACTCGAAATCTAGGTCCTCCCGTCCAAAGTCACACAGGCAACGCATTACTTACAAGTTATGCTAAAAGTATAAAATTTCGAAAATTGCACAAGTTCCATAAATGTTGGCAAATTCATTGCCAAAGATATGTTTTTTCTTGATAAAATTTATTCTTCAAAAGTAATCAAGTGATGTAGTCTGTATTTATAAATTAGCTGTGCTAAAACAGCACTTACTTGCTCGCTCTATTTTCACGTAAAATTATGCGAAAAGTACTCAAATTTTCGAAAAATTGTGCATTATTTCAAAATTTATCTTTAATTCAAGATTATATTAGGAGAAAAATCTCTATCTTTAATATTTAATTGTAGGAACAAAAAAAAATTTTAACTTTTGTAATTTTCGAAAAAGCGGGGTTTTCAACGAACGTGAGACCTGCACCATTATCTTAAACGTCCTACACACCCAACAACACGTCAAAAGCAATTACTTAAAAACGATGGACCCATTTTTTGGAAATTTGAAAAATGTTCCAGATGCTTAATGTAAAGTACCCCACAAATTAAAACATCGGTTTCAAATTCTAGGGTCCGCGACATCAGTCAAATGCATTAAGGAATATCAATTTTGTAAAAATCGGCTGAACAGTTTAGCAACTAGTTCACAGTCTGACAGACGTGACACAACAGACGTTTTGCCGTCACTCGGTTTTTCGGTATGAAGGACCCACAAAACTTTGCTACAGAACTTGAACCCACAAAACGTGGTTAAGGATTTATTTCTAAAATCAGCAACTGGAAGGGCCCTTTAATAAGAGTTTTTCTGTCGAAAATTCGCTGTTTTTCCGCGCAGCATTCCCTCTACTCCGTAACGAGAAAGTAAAAATTACAAGCTAAGAGTTTTCCACTGAGCCATTTCAGTCTGGAAAACTTAGGGTATTTGTTCATCTATATAACAGTTAATCTGGAATCGATCGGGACACAAAAAACCTCCGGTGTAGGGAGATTTCCGTTTTACGCAAGGTTGTCCTTTTTATGGCACTTGGGATACGCTTGATGCTTCTGCTCTTAAAGTAGTAAATTACATGACTTTACTGCAACTATCGAAATGCATTAACATATAACGTATTTATGGAAGAAATCACCAATTAATAAATATTACACATTTTTCATTGTAGGCTTCTGAATTGAAAAAGATACACCTTCTGGATGTATGCAGACAGCTTGCTGACTCTTTCAACGGAAAATGCGTCACAACCAGGGTTGGACAAAATACTTTGAATTTAGTATTTAAATACTTAACGAAATGACTTTATAAATAAGTATTTAAATACATACATTAGAGCTTCGTGTGCTAAATACATACGTATTTAAAATACTAAAAATACTATAAATATATAATAATATTTTCCTTATATTTTTATTGCAACAATATATTGTAATTGTAGATAACTGTAAATTAGTAATTTGACATTCATACAAATTTCTGAAAAAAATATTGTAATGTATAATAACAATAATGTATAATGTATAAACATTTTCAAATATAAAATGATATTAAAAAATATGTCTAATACAAAGAAATAGAATTTCCTTTTTAAATGATTAATTTTTCAAACAAATCATCAGATAATAACTTCCTAGTTGGCAAATGTATAAAACCTGCAAAGGAAAGCAGACATTCAATTGGCGAGGATGAATATAAATTAGTATTATAATACATAAACGCTTTTTTATTGCCAGATAATTGTCCAGCATTTTTAATGATTCAGATTTACCATTTAAAAATCCAAACAGTAATGATAATAATAATAATAATAATAATAATAATAATAATAATAATAATAATAATAATAATAATAAAATGAAGAGTTTTAAAAATAATTATTCAAAAGTTGGTTCGAAAAAATTATTCTAGACAAAAATTGGCATTATAGAAGTATAGAAACACACCAGAAATATGTAAGTTATTATTTATAAAAGAAATTAATATATTTGTTCAGAAAGAAAAATTAACTCAGATATCAAGTTACACAATTCGACTACCTTTTTATTTTTTGCTTAATTTTTTTTTCTTTCTGAACAAATATATTTATTTATTTTGTAAAGTTTTCAGTTCTGGATCTTTAATTTGTACGTGAAATTACCCTTGCTTCATTGTATAACGTGCTGCAAAATTGTAACAGATGAGATTTATTCATTTTTGTCTCTTTTGTAGTAATCAGAAAGGGCTATTCTTCCTTACTAGCGAAATAATAGAAGGTGATTAATTTGAATTGATTTGAACTGTTGGTAATGGGAGAAATATTAATATTATATTACGTAACCATTCCCAATAATGCGAGAAAGTATGGAATATTGTAGCACCTTAGTACAGACAGCCTACTGACTTACATTTATTTTGATTCATGTATACAAATCACTTAATGAGAAATTAAAGTCAGTAGCAACGAGCTTGAGTAACGTAGAGAGGAATTGTGTGCAAATACAACGCTCCTGCTTGAAGCAATTTGCACTACTGACTGCCATGTTTTCTGATGGCAAATTAAAGTAAGATTTATTACAGATTCTTGCTTAAAAGTACACTATTTGGGCGTTTGGGTGGTAATGTTTGTAGGTGTGTCACATTAAAGTGCTCTCATCTTGTTGAGCACATAATTTGCGTGAATAGAACGACAAAAGTATTCGAAGCAGAAGGGGTAATAAATTACTTTCGTAGTCATATCAACTTAAAGTTTTAATAATGAATATTAATAATCAAAACTGTACGATTCAAAATATTTTTTTAATAAAGAGTCACTAAGCAGAAGATACAAATAAATTAATTTGTACTATGAATAAGCAAACAAACTCAATATTATTTTTAATTAATCTTCACTAAACTCAACATGTTTTAAATAGTACATATCTTCTACATACACTTTGGTCGAATTCAGCAATACGCGATCATTCTGATGTTTCCTACAGAAATGATGAAGATTGCCCTTTTAAAAAGTTTCAAATGTAGGGGGAACATCGCCCGCCACTCAATAGATTTCTATTGCTCTCTCTCGCTGGTCAGCAGTAAGCCGATCCGGTCTGATGAAAGTATTTTGTTTTTATTGCATTTACCATAGAGCTAGCAATAGCTCCATGGCATTCACAGATTTATTTCAATACTTGAGCATCGTTTTACCATAGTAAACATTTCAATACAATACCGCAGGTTAGCCCGTCTTTTGACTATTTAGGGATACGCGCGCATACAGCGATTCTGAAGGAGATAAAGTAAAACTACGGATATCTACT